TCCGTCTTTCAGTGATATAAGCACTACTGTCCGTCTTTCAGTGATATAAGCACTACTGTCCGTCTTTCAGTGATATAAGCACTACTGTCCGTCTTTCAGTGATATAAGCACTGCTGTCTGTCTTTCAGTGATATAAGCACTACTGTCCGTCTTTCAGTGATATAAGCACTACTGTCCGTCTTTCTACTATAAATCTAGACTCGTTCTTGCGCCATTATTCATACCAGAAACTCAAGCGATAATAAACACAAATAGAAATCAAGACCAAACTAAACTATTAGGTCATTTGGTGTTGTTTATAGACTCAGTTACCCGGGATTGGAGAAAAGGGAGGTAACACCTGACAGATAATTTGGGACAATTACTTGAACAAAGAGCCAGGAGCCGCCCAGGAGAAAGGGAGAGAATCAAGATGTGATCGCTTGCCCTTGTGTATCGGCACCCCACTGATACACCGTACGGCTGATCACAAAAGCCCACACGCCACCCGGTCGCTTTATGTCAAGCAGACACAGAGGCGTATCCAGGTTTTCGTTGTAGGGGGAGCGAAAAGAGCGAAACAAGGCGCCGAATTTTTAACACGTTCTATATACGTGTATTATATATATATATATATATATATATATATATATATATATATATATATATATATATATATATATATATATATATATATATATATATATATATATATAATTACTAGCTGTATGTCATTACTTCGCTAAGATGTAAAATAAATTGAAAGTTGCACTCTGAAGAAATAAAAAAACACACAATGTAGGCCGAAAAAACAAAAATTGTATCAATCTAAACAACAACAAATATATATATATATATATATATATATATATATATATATATATATAAACACTACAACCAAAAACAATGAACGTAACGCAATCTGTTTTGTAATCCTTGTAACAACAATTTCTTGCATAATAATTCCTAGGGCATTATTTAAGACAAGTGAAATAGGGGAAATAATCACTCTCTTAATATAAATATGTATATATCTACACATTTAATTATAAATGTCAAAACAAATAAATAATTAATTCACAATATAATGAAATTGTTTAACACTATTCGTGTTTATAAAATGTTTTTGTCTATAATCAGAATTTAATATATTGTCATCATAAATGCTAAAGTAATACAGCATAATAAAAGTTTTTAAAATCAGAGTTGGTATAAAAGCACGCTTTTCGATACAACAGAAACATATTCGGAATAACAGCCTACATTTAACTAAATATTGGTCTTTTAGTTCAGATCATATATTTTAACTAACTACGGCTTCTTTGTGTTCTGTAAAGATCCTTTTTTAAACATAGTGATAGGTATGGGTTAGATCACTGTATTGATCCAACTCAGTGTATACCTAGGTGTGACATTAATGTCGCTCTACACAATTGTGGTGGTGAGGTGTGTGTGGGGGGATATAACCAACTCAGAGTGAACGTAGCGTCAGTTTTTAGATGACTGTTTTAAACATACATATATATTACACAAATATATATATTACACAAATATTTATTACAGAAATATATTTAAATAAGTAGCAGTGGCAGTATGAAAATATTTTTTTACAGAGGGGTCCATGGGGGAGGGGGGTTGTAACTGTTTCATATAATTTGTAATCATAATCACTATTGCCCAAACTGTAAAAATACTACTATTTCATCGTGTTGTCAAAATTTCCCCACCACTACGCAGTTTGCTCATAAGTAAATTTAAATAGAGGTGCCACATCAGTTGTATTTGTTTTTGTATTGTAATTTTTTTTTAAATTAATCAGACGATTCAAACTGTATATATAAAGTAATTATGTGTGAAGTTTTATGTATAACATTTTCTAATTCAATTATTCGTAAGCAAATACATTATACAGTTGACTTGAACTTAACACCCCTCTTGCCAAGTGGTACTACCGTAGAGGTTTTCTAAACCATCGTAATGGTTATTTTTAGAATGGCAAACTGATACAGCTGTTAATACGTGTTGTAAACGTAGACACTACTAGACTAGTACAATAATGCTTAATTGCTGCATGAAAAGAAATCTTGTGATTTACATAGATGTGCCGACCAAAAATATTTTTTTAACAAATATCACTGTTTAAAACTTTGAGTTTAAAAAGTTTCCAAAAAGGCGCCACTTTGCTGAAAATGGCCAGAGGGGGAGCGGCCGCTCCCCCTGCTCCCCCCCTGCGTACGCTACTGAGCAGACAGCTTTTCTTTATGTCTAACTATGCGGTTAGGTGAGTAGAGTCGACGGCCTTGAACCTGTTGACGTCTGACTAACTGTACCAGACCGGATGCTAGTAAGTCACGTGATGGGTGTGTTGTGAGCTAGCATACAACAACTCGTTGTAAGCAGAGTAGAAACCGAGGCTGAATCGAGGCTACTTTTCCTCATCTAACATCATCACATTAAGGTATACCTCAACATCTTTGTAACATCACCACATTAAGGCTATAACTCAACATCTTTGTAACATCACCACATTAAGGCTACACCTCAACATCTAGGTAACATCATCACATTAAGGCTACACCTCAACATCTTTGTAACATCACCACATTAAGGCTACACCTCAACATCTTTGTAACATCACCACCTTAACGTACACCTCAACATCTTTGTAACATCACCACATTAAGGCTACACCTCAACATCTTTGTAACATCACCAGATTATGGTACAGCTCAACATCTAGGTAACATCACCACATTAAGGCTACAACTCAACATCTTTGTAACAACACCACATTAAGGCTACACCTCAACATCTTTGTAACAACACCACATTAAGGCTACACCTCAACATCTTTGTAACATCACCACATTGAGGCTAAACCTCAACATCTTTGTAACATCACCACATCGGGGAAACACCTTGTTGTGAGTGGACAGAGAGTGAACGACGTTACCCTCGTCTCCTGTTGTTTCAGTACAACAACAATTCGCGTGACCTCTGACCCCTACCTGACCCAGACCTCACTCGCAAACTTTTTTTTTGTTTTGTACGGAGGGAGGGAGTGCTAGAGAGAGAACAGCAGTTCTCACAGCACTAAATTTGTCACGCCCCGAGCTATCAACACCCGGAGTGACGCCAGAAGCTATTTTTAGCCGTGACATCTTAAGGACGAGCAATCACTGGGCGGTATTTTTAGCCATGATGTCTTGCTAGCAACCAATGGTCAGACGGGGAACACCATCACACAAAGACGAGAAGGGACATAACTCCACACGGCTTTGTGCCCATTCCCCGCAGCTTCTACTGACATAATCGCACTTGTTTGAGAGGTCGTGGGGAGGGGGGGGGGAAGCCTCGCCTCAATAATTTTTTCGCTTTTGTAAAACTTTTTTTTTTAATCGAAAAGGCTGAAGAAAAAAAATTGGGGTTGACTTCACGAACCAAAAACAAGTGGTGAGTTGTGAACGGGACAAGAAACCCGTGACAATAAAGCTCTGAACTGGATTCGAACCCGGGCCTGTCCCAAAGTGAACGATAACAGTTCTGTTTAATCGCCCCTGCTGCTAGCTACCACTTGAGACAACAATGGTTTCCTACACAAACAAGCAGTAAGAAAACTGTTAAAACCATGTTTAAGTTATAAGATAACACAACATGCCTCGCACGTTACATGTACATTTTACACACCGTTTTTTGACAAATATTTTCTGTAAAGGTTGAAAGTTTAAACTGAAGTTGATTTTTTTAATCTTTGAAACAGCCAATTCATTGTAGAAGAATAATAAAAGAATCTTTACTTATATCTGTGTGATATTACTTAAATAGAGGACATTATTTGTGACAGAATTTTTGTAAAAAACTGATGCTGATTTTTATTTGATTTTTTAACGATTAGGTCAAGGTCATACTGGTAATGTGTTTAGATTTGGTCAAGGCCATTACGGTAATTTGCGCAGGTAAGTCAAGGTCATTTTTAATAAAGTGTGTATGTCAAGGACATATGGACAATGTTTATCGCTTAGTTTGGTAGTTGGGGTCAGGTCAAGGGTACCTCTGGCAATGATTGTATGTTAAGATTGGGCAGATAATTAGCATCACCAAAATTTGTCTCAGCTAATTACTGCATGCACGCAACACTACCCCAGGTCACGTGTTCCCGTGCTTTATCTATGTTCTGAGTATCAGTCTCAGACCTTGAAACTCCAGGCAAGTTCAGGTTTGTCTTAGAATCTTTAGATTCGAATAACGCCACAAGTTGTTCCATTAAGTAACGTCTTATTAAGCAACGGCCTTTCAAGTAACGTCCTTGCAACATCCTGTAGCATCCCCCAAGAGACGTCTACCCTGCACACGTCCCATCAATAGACGTCTCATAAAACAACGTGCATAATAACGCCAACCCTGAATAAATATTGCAACTGTGTCGAACTGCTACATTGTTTCACGAAATACGAACCGGCACTTGTTTTAAGTAGAATTAACCGGCATTGCCCGGCATTCATCAAGGGGTGCTTCAGAATTAGCCGGCATTTTCCGGTTTTCATCGCCGGCATCTACTAGAGAGGTTACCCTGAGCTTTAGTGGCATCTCCTAAGTACCCTCAGAAGTATCCCATAAACCCTTGCAAGATCTCTGAAATCAGATACCTCTTGCCTGTTCGCTAGATAATATTTTAACATATCTTTTTTTTTGTTGTTGTTAAAACATACCGACATATTTTAAACAATTCTATCAAAACTGTCGTTCGCTTTATTCCTGTGTAACATTGCTATACACATGTATTAAAAAATGTTTGAAATATACAACCTGAACAATTACATTTTTTTTCTTGTTGTAAAGAAAAGGAGGACAGGGGTGGAGAGGGTATGCGTTAACGTAAGTTGATGCATTATGTAACAGCATGTTATCGAGTTGAAGGGCTCAGCTCCTTGAGCTCAGAGCTGGGGTTTAGCTCCAGTGTTGGGTGACGCCCCCTGGCTTTTGTGTCCCAACGTCGGGTGACGCCAGGCAAGCTGTGATGGATGCTTAAATATGTATCAGGTGTAAACCTCATCGTCTACCTCATCGTCTACATCATCGTCTACCTCACCGTCTACCACATCGTCTACCTCATCGTCTACATCATCGTCTATCTCACCGTCTACCTCATCGTCTACCTCATTGCCCACCTCATCGTCTATCTCACCGTCTATCACACAGTCTACCTCATCGTCTACCTCATTGCCCACCTCATCGTCTACCTCATTGTCTATGTCATCGTCTATCTCATCGTCTACATCATTGTCTACCTCATCGTCTATCTCATTGTCCACCTAATCATCTACCTCATTGACCACCTCATCGTCTACCTCATTGTCTATCTCATCGTCTACATCATTGTCTACCTCATCGTCTATCTCATTGTCCACCTCACCGTCTACCTCATTGTCCACCTCACCCTCTACCTTATCGTCTGCTTCATTGTCCACCTCATCGTCTACTTCATTGTCCACCTCACACTCTACCTCATCGTCTACTTCATTGTCCACCTCACCCTCTACCTCATCGTCTACTTCATTGTCCACCTCACCCTCTACCTCATCGTCTATCTCATTGTCCACCTCACCGTCTACCTCATTGTCCACCTCACCCTCTACCTCACCGTCTACCTCATTGTCCACCTCACACTCTACCTCATCGTCTACTTCATTGTCCACCTCACCCTCTACCTCATCGTCTACTTCATTGTCCACCTCACCCTCTACCTCATCGTCTATCTCATTGTCCACCTCACCGTCTACCTCATTGTCCACCTCACCCTCTACCTCACCGTCTACCTCATTGTCCACCTCACCCTCTACCTCACCGTCTACCTCATTGTCCACCTCACCCTCTACCTCATCGTCTACTTCATTGTCCACCTCACCCTCTACCTCATCGTCCACCTCATCGTCTACCTCATTGTCCACCTCATCGTCTACTTCATTGTCCACCTCACCCTCTACCTCATCGTCTATCTCATTGTCCATCCCATCGTCTACCTGATTGTCCATCCCATCGTCTACCTCATCATCTACCTCATCATCTACCTCACCGTCTACCTCATCGTCTACCTCATCGTCTACCTCATCGCCTACCTCACTGCTTACATCACCATACACTACCACCTACCTCCCCACCTACCTCACCGCCTACCTCACCATTTACATCACCTCTTCTGTAGTATTATAGTTTACCAAACCCATTAATCCCTTATTGTTTTTTTATCAATACGGATAAAATTTAGCAAACGGATAAAATTAAGCAAACGATGGGACCACTAAATTCTCTCAGCGTCACATAAAGATCAAAGTATTCATTCATCTTCCTTTAAAACAATACATTCAAATAAATAAGAAAACATTTTGTGTCGTTTGCCTTCAACCAACTTTTTGTGACAGGTGTACGTCTACTGATGGGACGTAACTCCTGCTGTCCTCTCATTAAAATAAAAAAATGAAATACAGCCACAATAAAGTTTCGTTTGGTCCAAATTCGACCCCCCCCCCCCCACCTCCCAATTTTCTTTCTCCCGGCGGGTCAGAGTTAGGGGCAGGTGTCTCCTCTGGTATGTGCCGTTTGACCTACTTTCGTCGTCTGCTGCTCATTGTTGTTCAAGCCAACATTAAAAGCTGTTTTTTTTGTGTGAGTGTGTGTATGACAGTGTGTGTGTGTGTATATGTGTGCGCGCGTATGTTGGTGTTTGTGAGTTCATAAGTGTGTGAGTTTATATATGTGTGAGTTTATATATATATATATATATATATATATATATATATATATATATATATATATATATATATATATATATATATATATATATATATATATATATGTGTGTGTGTGATTTTACATGTTTAACTTTGTGTGTGTGTGTGAGTTTATGTGTGTTTGCTTATATTTATCTTTCTTGTGCGAGTGTGTATGTGACTGTGTGATTTTACATGTTTTATGTGTGTATGTGTGTGTATATTTGGTATGTTTAATCAGGGGCGTAGCGACCCTTCCCGGCGCCCGGGGCGAACTTTCAATTTGGCGCCCCCCCCCCGCTTATATTTATATATATATATATATATATATATATATATATATATATATATATGTGTGTGTGTGTGTGTATATAATTATGTGTGTGTGATAGTGTGTTTATATATAAGCTTGTGTGTGGGTAAGAGTGTATTTGTGTGTGTAAGCGTGTGTGTAAGCGTGTATGCTACAGTCCGGACAAGGTTTAATAATTACATTGTATGATTTTCATTCCTTAAAACTTTACCACAATTTAATTCCCATTAAGATGCGTTTAACTTTTTTTGCGAAAGATTAGTAATGTCAGTAAAAAAAATTAAGCCTGATCTGTGTTAGAGGGTAGTTTGTAGCTAACGCTAATATGTTTACACCAGCCTTTTATGTTCTAGTTTTGAACGATCTCTGTTGTGATATGGTACATAGTTGGATTCGAAGTTTGTTAGAGTAAGGACACACATGTGACATACAAGAAGAAGTTATCAGAAATATTTATTGTTCACATTGGAATACGACATGGGTATTTCGTTGATTGGTTGATGGTATGACAAAACAAGCTAGAGAAAACAAACTGGAATCCAACGGATGTTAACAGCTCGTAGTCTTGGATTTCGCAGATTTGCCATGCCTTCTCGCACACAGTTTCTTCCAGGCATCTTTTCGGGGGGGGGGGGGCGAAGCCCCCCGGAAAAAATTTTACGCCCCCCCCCCCGAACGAAATGAAATTTATATAATTTATATATAGAAAATATATACTTTTAACAGTGTCCGCCCCCCCCCCCCCGAAGAAAGTTTACCGCCTCCCCCGTCCCCCCGAAGATTTCAAGTGCCCCCCCGGAGAAAAAAGTCTGGAAGAAACACTGATCAAAAGTATCTGATCTCTCACGTTGAAGTTGAGAGAATCGTAAGAATCTTACAAAGAACTAGTCGCGTCTTTTTTTTTAAAAAAAAACTGGCTATTGAAATTGTACCTTACGCGTTAATACACTTGGTTTCTTTACTAAGTGTTAAGAGAGTTATCTACTCACCAATCCAGTACAAATACGTGCGATTTTTGTTAGCGAAAAAAGCGCCCCCCCCCCCCCCCACCCCCACACACACTCATCACAACCATCTTGGACAAAGTTTGTAGAGCGGTTTTTAACGTAACTAACTTTTTTAAAAAAATGTTACACAATTATACAATGCACAGTACAATTCGTTTCTTTCTGAGAGCTAAAGGTTGTTTACTCAGAATCCTGTGTAATTTTGCTATTTTATTTAGCCTAAAAGCGCCCCCCTGCACCATCTTGATAAATGTCACTAACGTATTTTACAGTTCAACAATCGTACAATACGTTTTAATACAATTGGTTTCTTTTAATAGTGGTAACGTTTATCGACTCAACAATCTAGTGTAAATTCTTCCGTTTTAAGTCTCGAAAAAGCGCCCCCCCCCCCCCCAGCTAGGAAAAGCTTCAAAGCGGTTTTGCCGGTCACTGTTTCTTAAGAGTATATGTTTTACATTAAGAAATCAAGATAGAAAACAGTTAAATCAGTATGTAAATGCGTGTAGCCATTACATTTCTTAACTTAGACAGTTTATAATTCAAAACTGCAGCATAAAATCAGCTTTAAAAAAATTTTCCCACCCCTTTTGGCGCCCCCATAGGGTCGGCGCCCGGGGCGGCCGGTCCCCCGCCCCCCCCTAGCTACGCGTTTAATCACTGTATCGATGTGTGTGTGTTTGGGCGTCTGTATATGTGTGAGAATGTATGTTAATAGATTATGCGCGTGAATTGATGTGTGTGTTAACGTAAGCGTGCGTGATTTGTGAGGGTGAATACGTGTTTGCTAGACAGCACATATGTACGTCACACACACACACACACACTCACACACATATTTTTTTTACGATTGCATCTGCTGGCTATCTCCGCTAATTATTCACGCAAAAAGAAGAAAATAAATTACAGGAAAAAAACGGAACCGAAGTATCAAGTACCCCGGCCACGAAAACGGTGTATCATCATCTAGCACCCATTGTCGTGCTGGGCGGTGCGGCATCAAATATCAGATGGAACCAGTGATTAGTGTGGGGCCATACGGGCCTATTTTGTCCGCAGGCTTTTTGTAGTGGGCCCTTTGTTCGTGAGCGTAAGCCTGTGGAAGCTTATGAAAACTCACTCAGTGGAACGGAAATCAATAGGGTTGGGGGGGGGGGGGGTCTTTTTGGTGTGGTGTGAGGAGTATTGTGTGAGAGATGTGGGGAGGATTGTGTGAGGGATATGGGAGAATTGTGTGAGAGATGTGGGTAGGATTGTGTAAAAGATGTGGGCAGGATTGTGTGAAAGATATAAGGAGGGGTGTGTGAGAGATCCTAGGAGGATTGTGTGAGAGGTATGGGTAGGATTGTGTGAAAGATGTGTGGAGAATTGTATGAGTGGTGTGGGGAGGATTGTGTGAGAGGTGTGGGGAAGATTATGTGGGAGGTGTGGGGAGGATTGTGTGAGAGATATGGGAAGGATAGTGTGAGATGTGTGGGGAGGGTGTGTGAGAGATGTGGGTAGGATTGTGTGAGTGTGAGGAGTATTGTGTGAGAGGTGTGGGGAAGATTGTGTTAGAGATGTAGGGAGGGTGTGTGAGAGATGTGGCAGGATTGTGTGAGAGGTGTGGGGAAGATTGTGTTAGAGATGTAGGGAGGGTGTGTGAGAGATGTGGCAGGATTGTGTATAGAACTGGATGATATATATTGTTTCATCAGAAGAAACCAACAAGCTAATTAAGAAACGCTTAAAAAGAGTCAACATTTAGAATGTAAATTGTTATCATAAGATTTAATGCTGCCATTTGTCGTGAATTCTGCATACATTTTATAAGTTACCTTTTGTAGCAACTGAAAAGTTTCTAATTACGATATGTTGATCCAGATATATAAACATTTTTAAAGAAAATTTAAATAATAAACAATAAGTTTTAAAATTAGAAGGTACGCAAATCTGTTCTATTACACGGCCCCAATATACACAATTTTTAAGCAAAGGGAGGCTACTAAAAATATATTTGCTGATTTGAATTTTCTAGAGTTATTTACCTTATATTGATGGTTGTAAATCAACCGTTAGTTGGTTATCGTCCAAACTTCAATTGGTTACCATATAGGCTAAAGCTGGTCACCTGGGCTAAAATTAGTGTATCATAATTACAGACATCGCGATGTTAAAGCCTAACCATACCCCAAAAATAAATTCTTTTCAGAAGTTCATTCGAAGCAACCGTTATAAACTACCAGATATAGATTATTTTTCTGCAGATAATATCAGTTTAAAAACACTAGGAGTGTACAAGTGTATGAAGAGGGGGTTTGGTGTGGAGGGGCAGCAACTCTAGAGCCTCTTATTTTAATTTGAGGGATACTAACAAATTCTACAGTCAACAACAGAAGAATCCAGTCTTCCATCTGACCATTCGGATTTTGATTCGCAAAGTTATATTTGTAACTATTTATAAATTTAAAATGTCAACTTTTATTAGTCTATGGTTAATCATTTATTCACAAAAATAACAAGGCATAAAAATTGTTTCTCATTTTTTTTTGATATAGGGGAAGCTACCCTTAGCTACTTTGTTTACTGAAGTTAAACATTATTATTGCCCTTTATCATGTAAACTTCACTGTCAGAAAATGGTAGCCCAGAACCGTTTACAATAGATGTAAAATCTGTTTTACTAAATGTTACAGGTAAATTAACTGACTAATGAGATTGAGTTTTTTGTAAATAAATTAATAAGATACTCGGTGAAAAATACCGGGAGACATACTGGGGTCATTCAGAAAGTTATGAAAATACGTTAGTTGAAGGATTGGGGTGCGATAGCCTTGACACTAAAAAAACGTATCAGACGTATCAATGGTCAAGCACAAGTGGAGGGGGGGGGGGGGGGGAGAAGACGAAGGCTGAGTGAAATGAGATCGATCGGGGTGAATCTACCAATCAATTTCGATAGCTAAGTGTGGAGTTCGTTATTTAAGTGTGGGGTTTTTACTATGTTTGTGTTCTTCAGCTATTGTGTGTTCTTTATCTAAGGGTGTGTTCTTTAAATAAGTGTGTGTTCTTTAGCTACGTATGTACTGTAGCTAAGTATCGGCTAGCTAGCTACATGTGGGTTTGTTAGCTAAAGTGTGTGGTCGTTGGCTAATTGTGAGTTCGTCAGCTAGAATTGGGTTTTGTCCTATACTCCTTAAGAAAGAAATAAGAAGATTAAAAATAATAAGTACTCATTGGCAGTTCTGTTCTGTTTAGCACTTAAAACACTGCTCTATTCTTACGATTTAGTACCGGGAATTTATAAACCTATAAATACATGTAACACATCTAATCATAAAGATGGCCTCTCACTTGTCGTGTTCACAGAAGTAGTCAAACTATTTTATTTTCCATCTTGACCTCCAGGTCTGAAAGGTAACTTTACTTCTTTTTTTTTATTTAACTTAAACAAAAAATTTTTTTTCTAAAATATTTTTACTTGAAAATGAAGAAACAATAATAAACATAGAATAACTTTTTAAACATTCACGCAATAGGAGTGTCAAATTGGGCTATAAATAGACTCGTTCAGTGAATGATTATCTCGTCTAACTCTAACCCAAGTACATATTGACCATGGACGACCATGGTTTGTGATAATTGAGTAGTTAATGAGTTCAACATTATTAAGATTCCAGAGCTTGTTGTCAGTTGTCACACTGGACCGGAGTTTTCAGCTAGCGGGGTTTCCCCATAAATTAGACAACAATATTTCAAGCCAGTCCACATAATTTTGGCTTAACCCCAATTTCAAGATGACGTAACCCTGACGTCACAGCACTTGAATTTCTTCCGAATAAACTCGGACATCTCACAATGAAAATTTCCCATTTGTGTTGGCCCAGTTGGTGTGTGACCATCCAGTCAGTACATTGTTGAGGGATAACAAAATGTTGCCCAGGGTTGTCCTATGGGTAGGCCTAAATAAAAAGGGTACAGTAGTCAAAGACCTGGCACACTGTTTTGTTCAATAGATCTTTTAATTAGCATTCTTTCTACTGATAACTTATTCAAAATGATAAAAACCAGAAATTTTAGACTACCCTCGTGCCAATGTTTAATTCACGGTCTAAATCAGGTTAATCAGCCTACACGGCACTGCTCATGGCGAACGTTTTTTGAAGGGTCGATTTCAAAAGTGAAAAGCTATAATTATAAGTGCAATCGTAGTCTATTTTTAGCATGCCTTACGTGTGCGCTATTTTTAGAACTCGAGCGGTCCTCAGCTTAGTGGCACTGGCTCTCAACGCACGTCGACTTGGATAAGTGGCCTAAATATCAGTGGCGTAGGCAGGGGGGTCATAACCCCCCCATAGACCCCTCGGTATATAAATAAAAAGTATGAGGGGGGTGCAAATCGAAAGTTTGAGGGGGGGGTGCAAATCGAAAGTTTGAGGGGGGGGGTGCAAATCGAAAGTTTGAGGGGAGGGTGCAAATCGAAAGTTTGAGGGGGGGGGGGGTGCAAATCGAAAGTTTGTCCCCGGGTAAAAATTGGAACCCCCCCTTGAGACGATCCTGGCTACGCCACTGCTAAATATAATGACGTTTTCTAGAATTTACTGTGGTGGTTTTATGATATTTCATATTTGAAACAAAAAAGAATGCCCAAAATAACTTTAAAAAGTTGTGAAAGGTCTATATGAGGTATCATGAGGGAGAGTGGAGTGGGGGGGGGGGGAGTCTAACACCCACTGCATACGCCACATTGTTATTGTAGCCACTGTAGTCATACGCTCTACTGTGTCTTATTGTTTTACAAGCACTAGAGACAGGTCTGTTTATTGTGCCTTGAACACCTAACAGTACTCCAACGATAACCAGGATTCTAATTCCTTAATGTAACATTAACTTTAGCCATCATCATAACAATCAATCAATAACAATCATAACAACCATCAATTTCTGCTGTACAATGTTGCGCAAACGCATATTTTTGTTAACCTAAAGACCTAAAAATAAAAATTATTCACATTATTTAAGTAGAAAAACTAAGATTACGTTCTAGGGCGTAGCGTGCTTTTTAGGTGATTTAAAAAAAAAAAAAAAAAAAAAAAAAAAAAAAAAAAAAAAAAAACCATCATCCTGTCTCTTGCTTGTACATTAACTTCTTTTTGTTGACGAAACCAGGATGCAATAACTAGAGTCTCATAGATTAGAAATTGGGCTATATTCAACTATTTACAAGCGGCATGAACGTGTTGTTTAACTCAAGACTCCACTTTAGAACTTCCTAATACTATCATGTATGTGTATTTGTATCTTAATTGTGCAAAAGCAGTAGTTATTCGTTAAATTTATATATTACCATTCAAGTTTAAAAAAAAATTAAAACTGTAGTCTAACAACTCAAACACAAATCATATGTTCCCATAAGAATTTAGCAAGGAATCACTGATGAATGAATTCAACTAGACTATTTAAAACAGTCTGCATGACCCACTCATAATTCATTTTAACGGGAATTTCCGATTTTCATGCGCCGCAAGGGTTCGGTTTCAATATAGTGTTTGGAATTTCCGCGGGTTTTCCCCAAGCTAAAACTATCAACGAAACCATAATCATAATATTACAATTTTCTGTCCAGGCCCAAGTAATAACAGAAGGTCTTCCCGAAATTTAGTTTGTAAAAGCAGAAAGAAAGTTCCACAATAACCGAATACCTTTAGGACGTCTATATAAGTGGTGAGTATTGATGTGTTTTAATAATTTAATATTTTAAAATGTAGAGATAGCAGACGTATTGAATATAAGAGTTAAATTACGTTATTGACTTTTCCTACTACAAATATTAAATAATGAAACATCATAATAATAAAATGGGAACTGCTGATCTATAATGAAATTTGAAAAAAAAATTCTTAAAGTAATCTAATTCTTAGCCGAATTCTGGACTACTACTAACTAGTAACTACTACAATACACTATAGATTATAGTACTATAGACCTACAAACTACAAACATTTTATTAAGTAAGATATTTGAAGATTAAAAAAAATTGCCCCAAATATGCCTTAAGTTAGGACTGTTCAATATTAATAAGCCTTTATACGCTAGGTATGGATCTAATAAAATTCGATAGATTGAACGTGGGCCTGTTGTTATATTTAAGCTACTGAAACGACACTCAAACTACTTTTATTATTATGATTAAGGGTTATGCTGTTAGCCTTCTCTTCCATATTTATCAGCTTCTACAATCTGGAAATTATTTAATCAACCGCGTTTTTTTAAGCCTTAGACTTTAGAAATGATACAGATCGTCTGGCTTGAATGGGTACTTCATTTACTGTCCTGTTCAAACTATGGTAGACAAAAAACAAATCCAGTTATACTTTATAGACTAACGTTTTAGTTTAGGCAAGATCGCATTAGCCTAGGACATGGTTGACTTTTAAATTTTATAAGATTGGTTTAAAAATACCAACGTGAAGTAGGGGTAGGTCAAGAAATGTTTTATTTTTGTTTTACCAGGATCGCTTGTGCCTAGTTGGACCAATAATTATTGGTTTTACTCACTGTTAATCCATATGCGATTTTTTTTTTCATTTGTCTTTATTAATATTATATTTTAATTTATCTTAATTGTGTACTTTGTAATTCAACTTCATATGTCTGATGAATAAAAGGATATTATTTTAATAATTATATTTTTGTATGAATAAATGGTACCATTGCTAAAAAATCGTACACTTTGCCTATTTTTTTTATATCTCTCCAATTGTCAGCCCATCACAACAAATTAGACCCCCCCCCAATAAAAACGACGGTAGGCACTACTCTAATAATCAAATGAAGTGTTTGGTGGGTTTTACATCGATCTACAGTTTTCATTGGTAATGGATAAATCGAAAAATTATTAAATTTAGAATTTTGTGAGAATATCTACTAATTAGTAATTAGCATCCCTTTCACACACTCTCCACCCTCGAGTTCTGATGGGTAGTTTACCTAACTCATGTTAGGTAAAGTAAGGGAGGTTCTGCATAGTGATCACCACATTATCCCTTCACATGCCTAGCCTAGGTTACTGAAACAGGTGAACTCTACTTTACCTGATCCATGGACCGTAAGGTACGAAAGGGTACGTTACTTTTTCTCCCCACCCCCAGCAAGCCATATAAAATTTAAGCCCTCCATAAAAATAGATCAGGAATCTAGATTCTAGATCTAGATCTAGATTCTAGTAAAGAAATGTGGCATGTGTGAAGTCGGAATGGTCGCACAATTAGTTGAATTAGACACAATATTCTGTGTTTATACATTGGCCTAATTATATCCGCATTTTTTGTTAACTGAGAGTACGCACTATTCAGTGCCTTAGGCTTAGGCCTTAAAATGATATTCCTATCACAAAAGGCCTTATAAAATAAATAGAAAAGTTATTTGATTCATAAATTCGAATTGGTAATCGGAAATTTCCATAGATGGGATTTCCGTATTCTAAATTTAGTCCGTTCGGATAATGAAAATTCAACAAGATCCAATCAGAATGAAGAATACTTTGCAAAATATTAAACAACGAATGGTTTCACGTCTTATAAAATAGCATGACTAGAGAAAATAAATATGGCGATTTTTGGTGTAGGCCTACTGAAATGTGTATAGTTGATCTAAAGGCACTCTAGCAAATGATTTGTTGATCTACAAAAAGCCTATAACAGTTTTAATTGTATTCGTATTGTTAATTTTCACTAGTCTATGGACTAGTCTAGATCTAGATATTCTCTAGGTAGGCCTATATCTTAAAAATTAAAAACGTTTTTGTAGTTCAGTTATTCTCATTCTGACTGGTAGGAATCTGTTGTAGTGTACACTGTAGACTAGACTAAGAATCTAAGATAAGAATAAGTCTACTAGATTTCTATTACTATTTTATGAGAAGAGATGAGTTATCGATAGTCGTTAAAGATACGCCACGGCGTCGCAAAGAGACTAGAATCTAAGTAGAAATCTAGATCTAGAATCTAGTGTCAAGTAGACTGTAATTCGATAGTGGTGTAGGTTCTAGATCTAGGTTTTGGTCAATATTACAAGTCGACCCTTTGAACAGAGTTTCTTCCAGGCATCTCTTCGGGGGGGGGGGGCGAAGCCCCCCCGAAAATTTTTTACCGCCCCCCGAACGAAATGAAATTTATATAATTTATATAGAAAATATACACTTTTAACAGTGTCCGCCCCCCCCCGAAGAAAATTTACCGCCCCCCCCGAAGATTTCAAGTGCCCCCCCCCCCCCCGGAGAAAAAAGTCTGGAAGAAACACTGCCTTTGAATCCCAAGCAGAACGAGCTGCTGGCTTTGGCTTTGCTTTTTTGAGCTAGTTGCATGTGAGTAAAGTTAAAGCCAACGATTTTAAATTTTTTACCTAAGGAATTTGATTTTGAAATAGGTAATGTTCTTATAATAGGCCCCTACTTATATTTCAAAATTCTGTTAGTTAGGCCTACTTATATTATTTGTTTGTTTCTCATTTTAGGGTCACAGAAAAGCGAGTATTCGGCAGATCTGTTGAATTAAAACACACTTGAAATGGATGACGGGAAATCGAACAGGGGCAGGAAAAGAAAAGTTGAAGATGTAAATATTTTCAAGCAAATATTCTTTTAATTAGTTCTTTCCGCATTGGTTGGTCAGACTTACTTAAACTTATCTCTTGGTTAAGTCTTAACTTGGACAACAAATAGTAACCAGTAGTATTGATGGGAAAAATCTTAAATAAAATAAAACCTAGTTCTATTTTTTTTCTTGTACTTTTTTCATGTTCTTAGATGAGCTGGTTGTTTGTGTTCACAGGTAAACTTGAGTCAGGAGGACCAGTTAAAGAAACAAAAGAATAGAGATGCTGCCAAAAAATGCAGAGAAAAGAAGGAAAGGGAAGCTCAACAACTGAAAAGTGTGAGTTGATGATTGCTTTATGAGTTTCAATACGTGCCTACATAGTTATGGATAAATGTTATTAAGATATGCAAAAATTCTATATAATTATAATTCACTAAACTTTTGCTAGGTTTGAAATTTTTTCAGCAGATTTTTCTTTAATTTTTTTATTTTGAAAAATGTCTTTTTAATATGCTTTTAGTTAATTAATTTATAATTCTTAATTTTCAACAGAGAAATGATGAACTCGAAACAGAAAATCAACAGTTGATGAAGGAAAGACAAGAGCTTGAAGAAAAAGTTAAAAGATTTAAGGTCATAATTGAAGACCATCAGAGGAAAGGATGCCGACTCCCACCTAATATTGAGGCAGCATTGCATCAAGAATCTCTTTTTGGTGATAATGAAGACTTCAGAGAGGTCGGCACGATTGAATATACAGGAACCCCACCTCACACACCTGACAGTTCCTGCTCAGAGAAGCATTCCCCAGCCACGCCTCGCCTCTTCCTGGACCAACATTCACACGCACCCACTGCATTGTTTAGTGGAAACCCACTGCCGCAGGATGAAAAGAAGAGAAGACACAGCAGCAGTTCCAGCAGGTCCTCGTCCCGCTCTCCTGCCCCTGCTCCCAAAGATTTATCCCAGCTGTTGATGGGATCTAAGGCTGTACCACCTGCACTTGCACCAATAGCTCATCGTAAATTAAGCACCAGCTCCACAAATCAGTACGAGAATGTCCAGAGAGTAACTCACAGCCCAGCTCAGCTAGTGCCCACGGTTGTTCTAGACGATGATGAAACCGATCAGATGGAAGAGGACAAAGGAAGTAACGGTAGCTACATTAATGACCAGTCTAAACTGATTTGGGTTCCAATTACAGAGGAGAAAGTGTTCAGGACAGATTTTTCTGGCATTTCCACCAATGCTTTAGCCAGTGTGGCTTTAGCTAAAGCCTTTGAGCAGCCAGACATCACCAGTGAGGATAACCTGTCCAGGGAAATCTACACCAGAAGCTCCGGAATGGACCAGAGTGTTAAGACAAAATCACCCAGTGAAAACTTGCCCTCTCTGGGCTTCAACATTGCTCCTGTACCTGAAGGCTACTCCTACACTGAAGATCTTCAAGGCGTTGAGCCACCAGGAACTGCAGAGTACACACCTCCAGAGCAGTACAGCTACACCAGTCAACAAGTGCCGCTGACAGTTTGCGCCAGGGCCATTCTCTCGGCTGGGAATGAAATGGCTCCATCACTACAGGAACAAATCAAGTCCTCTTGCAGTGGTCAGAGCTTCACTGTAGATCACAGGACTCAGGCTCACAACTCTGCTCAGCAGAAAGTCTTGGTCAGCCATCAAGTATCTGGACAGTCTAGACAACAAACCATTACAGGTCGGCAAGGAGAAGCACTACCTTCAAATCTTATGAAATCTACTGCCTCCTCAATAACTAGACTTGTAATGGCAGAACCAGTAGGTCGTCAAATGAGTCAGCAAAATATTCATAGCCTACAAAATATTCAGAGCCAGCAAAAAATTGTTAACCTACAAAATATTCAGGGCCAACAAAATACTCAGAGCCAATTAAATATTCAGAGCCAGCCAGTCTCAACATGGAACAATACAGCAGTTGTGGTAGGGCAGTCTAATGTGTCCACTCTCCAAAAATATCAGGTGGTACGCCAGAATTCAAACACTAACAAAGATCCTGTTTTGGTAGTGCGACAGAATTCAAACACGAACAAAGAACCTGTTTTGGTAATGCGACAGAATTCAAACAGAGAAACCGTTCAATTGATACAACAGAACTCTAATAACAAAGATCAAATTATTTTTATACATGAAGGGAACACTTATATAGCAGACACTGCCAACCGTGATTCCGCCTCAAGCAATCAAGTTTTGTTTCATGTGACAACTAGCATGGCGCCAACTACCTCATCTGGCACAACCGAGGAGTCTTTCTCCAAAAACGTGGAGAATCTGCCAAGCTTAAATTTTACTGACTTAAATACAGAAGGAAATATTTTTGAGAAGAAACCGTCATCTAAAAGGGTTTCTAGTTGAAATAAATAAAAAATTAGAACCAGTGTAAACAATACTTTTTTTAATTTCTATAAAAGGAACAATTTAATGTATCTAACTGAACTGTATACAATTATTGTTCCATAATACATTTTTATATTTAATTTCTATTTAACATAAGAGTGCAGTATGTGAATCTTTGAACATACATCTATAATTTATAAGTTGATTTATCAATGGGTAGGCTGACTGCAGGAGCTATTCACTCTCTTAATCAGTTAGCATGTTGAAGTAAGTGTCTCCAGTTGAAACCCATCTTTCTCATAACCAGGTTTTTCTTTGTTGTTGTCTTTTCTTATTTACATGGGATTCCAGACACAACTGTTCGTTGAGCTGTAAAGAATTATGTTATTTACTACTTGCTGCCACATTTCTCAAGTGTTGATGCCCCTTGGTAAAGGTAACTCATAACTATGTTGATGTTGTCTTCTGGTGATGGGAAACTTCTGTCGTTTTTGTAGAATTATTTGGGAATTTTAAATTGTGATGATTTTTTAAAAATAATCTTGTATATTTGTGAATATTGTTATTCTTTTTTTAGTTTTTTTTCTGCACATTTTAAAGTGCAGGGTATTGTTTAAAATATCTGTTTATCAAAGGATGATAAAGTTAGTATGTTTGTATTTTTGTTCTCTCTTTGTGCCATCATAGATTTTTACAATAGTAAATACAACATTTACATCTGTTAATAACTCATATAAGTTAATTTATTGGGCGGGGTTTCTTCTTCTGTTTGTAGATTTGGAGTTGTACTTTACTTTTAGGTCGATTGATTTTAATTCTCGGCATGACCTTTTATATTAATTGGATATAATTCAGAAAATAATTCTTGAAATGTGTTTTTAAAATTTCACAATGGGTTGAAATAACAATAGTATCATATTTGGTTTAGTTTTTTTTTTTTTGTTGTTGTATAGCATTGGATAGAATGATAAAGAATTTGTTTTAGCTTCTCTGTATCATTACCACCCCATACCACTGTAAATATGAATATAATTAGAAATAGTTAATTTCTTTATTATTCTTAGACACTATACTGCCTATCCATTGTGATTTTTACTCTTTATGTAATCCATACAATTGCATAGCTTTTTAATCAATTATATTATTATGATATAGATTTGTGCATACTAGCATTTCAATATCTCTTCTGTACCTCTTTTGTTATTTGCTTTTTTGCTTATTTGGTACAATTGTTTTTGTACCATTGTGTTGACAAAATTCTATAATCAAGTTTTTAAAATATCAAGAATACCAGTGGAGTTATTTTTATTGTGCCTGTGGCTATCTCACATTACTGTGTGGCTATGTTACCACACTGTGTGGCTATCTAACATTACAATATTCTGTGGCTATCTCACAATACTGTGTGGCTATGTTACCGCACTGTGTGGCTGTCTGACAATGCTCATCTCCTTAAAGATTAAATTGGCTAGAACACAAATTCATTAATTTGGCTGTTGAAGTGTACACAAGTTGGCTAGAACACTGTCCAATAACTGATTCACATGATGTTTTATGGTACTGGAGTTCTTGCCCTTGTGCAAATACTTAATGTAAATAAATCATGTAATTGATTCCTTTGATGGTGTCTGAAAACAAAAGATACTAAATCAACACCTAGCCAACCCGGCCAGTCAATTAGAGTTGATTTTATTATTTTTCCTTCTTTGCTTGCTACAAATTGCTTTTCAACAGACTAACTGCACTTTATTATCACATGTGACTTTCTCTATGCTAATCTGCTGATAAGTAAGGTAGTTCTGACAGCTTTTTACTCAAAGCTTTTTTTTTTATCAATTGCACCAACTCTATGCAGGATCTATTATCTTATTAAAATAGCTAATTAAAGAAAGGATATTTAAAATAAATTATAATCCCTTGTTTTGTGATTGTATCAAAATGCAATACTTCATTCCTTTTTAAAAGCTTATCAATTTTTGTTTTTAGTTTAATATGTAATATTGCCGACCAGTTATGGCGAGGAATTGTTTTACTACAAATATTTAATACAAAAAAATAACCGGTCTTTGGGTAGAAGAGGCCAGTGTAAGGCTTGGTTTTATTTTGTCACTGTAATTTGTTTTTACTTATAGCATATGTAGATACACAACTGTGTTATGTAATCATTTCAAATTTGTCTAATGCACCATTTCAGAAATAAGTATTTAAATACAATTAATGAGGTTGTAATATCTTTGTTTGGCTTTATTTTAGAATTAAAGTGTAGTCGGAAGATTTAATTCTTTGTCAGCTGTTATAAAAACAATAAAGTTATAAATAAAGGATTGTTTGAATTTCTCATGTTATTTGATGAAAAGATACAGATTTGTTACCTAAGGGGAGAAAGCTTGGTTTTCACTTCAAAATATCTTACTAACACTAACAGAACATTGTAAGTTTATTACTGTAATTGTATCAACAAAGATACCCGATCAAATCTGCTCAAAATTTTAACATTTATTTCCATTTTTTGGTAACCAATTTCAAATTTTTAAATGTTCAGATAAGCTGTTTAGCCTCTCGTAAGCTTTAATACTACTATTTTAATTTTAATGAAATGTCTTTATTTTTTGTGATAAAAAAACAACAAACAAATTGTGGTATTTTAAATAGTATTTGATATATGATATATTGTTTATGTACAATAACATTGGTTACTCAGCATTACTAATCACAAATTACTTCACCCTTAGGAATAAATAAATGTAATAATAATCAATAAAATTATTATTACACATGTAATTCTCACATATTAATCTGTTTTAAAATCATATGTAAGTCAACATAGCTAAAAAATATAATAAATATTAATATAAAAAAATTTTGTTTTTACTAAAAAAAGATGGTCATCCTGGCACTTTGGTTTTGCCATGATCAAGCCCATTATTTTGGTCCTCTACTTGAACTTCAGCAAAGGATAGTTGATTACTTTTGTTGGTAGAGTTTGTCTCTTCAAGATGATGTGAATCATTTAATTTAGAGTGTATCAGTAGTGTAAGGTAAGAACAAATCACAAGTGATAGCATCCACGCTAAAATGATAGGCGTGTCGTAATAAAAGGGTAGAACAACTTGTAAATAGGTGGACGTTTCTTTAGTGATTACAATATTGGTCACCTGGACTGATGGAAGTGGTTTGTGGGGGAGGGAGTTCTCGAGTGACAAGCACTGAGGTCTGCTTTTATAAACACCCTGGAACTCAAGAACAGCGTTAGGGGCACAGACCCAGGGATCAGCAGTTTGATTCTGCCAGTCTTTAAGCTGGGTCTGGAGGGTGAGGAGGGTTGTGTGGTACAAAGGGTTATCTGCCTGGTTGCGGACTTCCCTGGGGTCAGATCGGAGGTCATACAGCTCCCACTGCTCCCTGTAGTAGTACTGCTGCAGGGTCTTGTACCAGGGGAGGGGCAGTTTGTCCCGCGTCCTGCGCAGGATGTCCTGGAATGTGGGGGACACAAAGAAATCCTGGTCTATGGGGAATGGCATGAGGAAGTTGAGGTTGTGGATCAGGTGAAAGTCTTGTGTGCGGATGGATCTCATTGGGTAGTACATTGTTATTTCATGCAGGCTGTGGCTGGCAAACACTGCGCTTCGGTTTAGTGATGTCGCACCTGTGGCTGATGTTGCACCTGTGGCTGATGTTGCACCTGTGACTGATGTTGTGCTTGCGGCCTGATAGATATTACAAGAAAAAACACTAATGAAACAAATAGTTTTTTAAAAATTTTTTTTTTTTACAAATAGATTTTATAACAAATGTTAGTTGGAGCAAGGGTATGGTTACCTCTATTCTCTTTTAAACGTAATAATAAATTTGCAAAGTGTCTGTTTTAATAAATGAAAACACTAATAACACTCAAATAATTATATAAGACATACACGAGGCGGGTGAGACCTGATGTGATGACCCACCCCTCCCCAATTGGTGTCAACCTCTTAGATGGTGTCACCATGTCAATATGTGCCGTCCGCACAGCCCCCCGCTTTAGGACGCTAGAATCTATTATGCAACATAAGTTCGTAGATTTCATGCACTAAAAAAACTAACTAAAATGGAAGCTTTTAAAGATGGAACAAATATAAATATCTAGATCTAAAATCTAGGTGCCTGTAGTGAAATTAAAAAACGGAAAAAAAATACTTCAAGACTTGGCTTTGTCGTGTTGCCTAATATCTTGCCTATTTTATATTAATTTTAATCGCTCTAGTTTAAGAGCCAAAATTAATTTGATTAAAAAGGCCTATAACATAAAATTCTAAGAACAACAAAAAGTAAAACAGTTTACAAATTACAGACAGTAAAGTACACCTAGAGTCCTAGTTTCTAGACTTAGACTAGAACAAGGGAGGTAAACGAAAACAGCTGTTTTTAATTATGAGATATATTGGGTTACGTCGTCATACCTATTCCCGCCCTTCCCCAATGTGTAAACATGACCTAAATTTAGTAACAGGATTGTCTGCAGTCATACAACTGCAGCGCGTCTGTGCACAACCTAGACTAGGCTATCAATAATAACAAAGAGAAAACACGTTAATGGTGGGTCGCTGACTGTAATTTTAATTAAAGATCGCCACGCAGGTTAGTTGCATCTAAACTTCTAAAGTTATACTTATAGTGTTATAGATCTAGATATATTTAACTGCAATGTGAAAATAAATAATAATAGAATCTATAGGCCTATATATTTAATATATAATATATAGATCCTCTAATAGATCTATATACTAGATATCTATATAACATTGACGGATAACGAGACTCTAGCCTCTAGCTAGATCTAGTCTAGACTAGTGACTAGACTCTACTCTACCACTAGATTTCTAGAAACTCTAGAGATCTAGATTTTAGATCTAGATATCTAATTCTAATATAGATCTAGAATATCTAGATTTAGTTAGATCTAATCTAGATCTAGAGAGAAATCTAGATCTAGATTCTAGTAGGCCTAGGGCCTAGATTCAGATTGGCCTAGATCTAGATAATTAGATCTCTAGATCTAGACCTCTAGTTATTAATATTAAAATATTATTATTAAAAAAAAAAAAGAAATAGGGCCTAAGTCCTAAGTGGTAGGCCTGCATTAGTTTAAAAAGTTAGATATTTAGCAGTAAGGCTACCAGTGTGTCAGGTAGGGCCTACACCTATAAAAACTATAAATAATTAATTCATTAATATGCCTAAATTATCTGCAATATTATTATTAAATAGTTAGATCTCGTGAAATAATATTTGATAATTATCATAATTATGAATTAGGGGTTATTTAGGCCCTTAACGCCATGTTTATATTTAGGGGATAGTGTTGTCAGTACACCTCCCAGCCATTTACTTTCCCAAAGTTTAGTTAAGTCCAGAACATATCTAGTTCGGACCTTAAACAGCATTTGTAGGACTTCTGAAGTACACTTAAATAACATTAGCTTAGGGAAAGTAAAGCCTGTTCTCCAAACTATCCTCTTATATGCTGTGGTCACACAAACAGATTAACTCTACTTCACCGGACAGGGTGGAATTACAATAATTTTTTAGATTTTAACCTTTGGTTCTAAGTAATAATACTTTTAAAAATTCAAATTTTGTATCTATTACAGATGTAAATCCAATGGATTCACTAAGCAGCTTATGTTCCGTGTTAATCCCAAAGAGAACAACTAGTGTAGTGTGCTCAGTGTGTGGGAGGTTACTGGCCACTTGTCAGTGTCTCAACAAGCGTGACCAAGGACTGGGTTGGGAAGATCAGAGTTTGAGCTACAGATATCTAGACTTTTGCTTTGATGGTGAACCTTTACATGGTATGTCAAGTTGTTGTGGCATTTTTTTAAAATGTGGGTCAATAGGTAGAATAATCAATAATAAAGGATGTCTTCAGATTTTAGTACAAAAATTGTGTCTTTCTTGGCTTTTAAAGGTATATTTTAACCTTGTTTTGCTGAATAATAGATATAATATTACATATTGACTGTTTCAATAAAAAGTATTAAAGCATCTCCATACAAATACAATGTCTTGTAACTAGTGAATTCAAACAACAATTGTTTATTTTGCTAGCATTGCCACATGCAAATTTATAATTTTAAAATTTCCTGACAAGAAATTTTTGTAATATAGATTTACATTTTTTTTAATGCAGATTTAAAAATTCCATTTATGAACAGACATATTTATGTAGATATGAATTTTCCATCTATGAAAAGAAATATTTATGTAGATTTAAATTTTCCATCTATGAAAAGAAATATTTATGTAGATTTAAATTTTTCCATCCCCAACAGAGATTGAAGCCGAGCCTGAAGATGATTTGAATCCCTACTGTGAAAAAAGACACCAACACAGCGAGTTTATCCCAGTCAATGAGTTTTCCCTGGACCATCTCCCAGCAGATCTGAGAGACCCCAGGGTTTATGTGTGGCTGAGAAACTGCGCCCCCCTTGTGGTGAGGCTGATCAAGTCTGGCATCAAAGCCACAGGCCGGGCTTGCGTGATGCCATCAGAGATAAAAAAAACCATGCCCTGTGATGACATACACTGTCCATACAGACCTCTTTATGGTAATGTCCATAACACGTACGGTGGTATTGGAATTATAACAAACAAACATGTTATAAGAGATAACAGTGACTCTGCCAGAACAAGAGTTGATTTTTGTTACAATGAAGAGAATGATGCTTTACTCTGGAGTGAGTTAGGATATGTTGTCCATGTTACGAACAAAAAAATGGATTACAGTGTGTTCAGCTGCTATGTACATTCTCAAGATGTAATCTCATTTGTTTACACGTTGGATAGTTTTAGAAATTACAAGTGGCAGCAAATTCCAGAAAAAATTAGAATGGCCTCCAAACAGTACGCCATAATCATCTCTCACCCTCACGGTGCCCCCAAAAAAATCAGCATCGGGAAAGTTGTTGAGAGTGAAATCAAAGACAAAGGCAGCAGAGAGTCGCAGAATGTGGCATTTTTAAATGAAATCTTCAACATTCTGGAGAAGCAGGGCAACACAGGGCTGCAGAGGTTCCAGGCCTACCTGAACACACCGCTGTGCCAAGACATCCCCATCTCCTACAAAATTACCTGGTACACAACAGCCACGTGCATGGGCAGCTCTGGCGCTCCTGTATACATGGGCAACACCGTCACGGAACACGGGCTAGAGATTAACCAGGCTCACACACACAGAGGGAGGGACCGATCTAAAAATTTGAATATTTGCTTCACGTAGCAGCTGGGGATGGGTGACTGGACCACATTGTGTACACTCTCAGCTCAAATAATTGTTGATGTAACTTTAAAACTAAAATTGTGTTCACACTATATTTTAACTTTGTATACAAAGACTTTGATGATAAGCTGTGATAGAACATCTCCACCAGATTTTAATATATTTCTTTTATTTTCATATGATTTGTTCCATAAACCAGAATACACTAACGCATAACAACAAAGCATTCAATAATTCTACATCATGTTAAAGGGTACTGATCTAGAGATTATTATTCTGCCTTGTTATTCATAAAGACCTTCTGACAGCTAATTTAATGTATTTTTACAATAGTTTTCATGTAATGTGTACTTTATTCAGTAGCCTTGATTGCTTGTATGGCTATGTGTTGCCTAAAGAGTTTGAAATAACCATGTGTGTCTAATATTGTTGGGGATTTCACAAATATAAAACAAAAGGAGGTTAGAGGTAGTTAGTCATTTTGTTATAAATCAGGTGGAGTAGTGATATAAAGCAATGTTATATAACACTCTCTTTCAAATTCATTACTCTGATTTGTGTATAATTGTTTACATTTTGAATACTTGGATAAATAGTAACTGATATAAAACGAATTAAAGCAGATGATATAATAAGTAATTTATTTATATAGAAGAGTCATTGATAGAGCTGTAGGCACGACCTGGTATAAATAGTTTAAAGAATAAGTTGAATGACATAACCCTATTAATGTTTCAATAGTGTGTTCATATAAAGTTGCAGTGTTTTTGTTTTCAATTAACTTAATATTAATGTCTGGTTAATGTCAAATTCAGAAACCTGATTTGAAATTAAAACAAGTTTCTGCAAAACTATAAAAAAAACCTTGTCTATTCATTTAAGTTTAGTTAGTAAGTAATTCTAAATCAATCCATATTTATATTGATATGCAAATTTCACACCTGAACAGAGATCAGGTGTGTAGAATTATGTCTCTTCTAATCTAATCAGATGAGTCATTACCTGACCGACTTCTATGATAACACCTAGGCCTAACAGCTTGTTTCTTTAAATAGGTCATATTTAGTGTGTCCCTCCCTCATTGATTCAACATTCAGGTTAATTTTAATGATCTCCAGAGTAGGTTGGACCATGAGAATTCATAGGCTTAAACTGGCGGGCAATCTTCTAGTTAGTTTTTATTGACCTGGATTCCCAGCGCCCGTGTTGGTTGTCAATCGATATGAAACCTGACTCTTTTGTCTAGCAACACGCCCAATGCTGTAACTACAGGTGACAACTGTTCGGTAGTTTGTGAAATCATGCATGTATTCTGGTGCACCGGCAATAGGCCCCGTCAAAAGGGCCCTGACATATTGGCTTCAGACAAATGGGCTCATGACATATTGGTTACATAGCAATGGGTACACTACATAGGCCTAATGACTCCCGACATATTGGCGCCAGATAAATGAATAGTTTGACCACTTTTGACTATTGTCTCTATTAGTATCGTATTGACAGACAGGGACCCCTTTGTCGGGAATCCAAATAACTGAGGGTTTTTTTTTGTCGGGAGCCTATCAGAGTTTCTTCCATGCATCTCTTCGGGGGGGGGGGGGGGCTTAGCCCCCCGAAAATTTTTTACCGCCCCCTGAACGAAATGAAATTTATATAATTTATATAGAAAATATATACTTTTAACAGTGTCCGCCCCCCCCCCCCCCCCGAAGAAAGTCTACCGCCCCCCCGAAAATTTCAACCGCCCCCCCCCCCCCCGGAGAAAAAAGTCTGAAAGAAACACTGGAGCCTATAAGCCGGGGTCCATTTGTCGGGGCCGTTTTGACGCCGCGCGCTGTACTCTACCACGGTGGCCAAATGTTGTGCTGCTACTAGACGTAGATCTAATCAGGCCCACTGGTCAGCAGAGTAAAAGCACGATTTTTAAGACCCAGGAGAATCTGTGTTGACTGCTCTTAAAATCTGTCTCTCTAAAAGACTAATATTCAGTCTTTATTACCACTAAATCTGGTCATTTGTCTGATGGTTAAAGGAATACTGTTTGTTTATAATGTAACAAGAATGTAGGTACTTTTTACCAATGTTCAAAGGGTATTCCCAATGTCCAGCGGGAAGATCGAGTACTATAAATAAAATGATATCAGTATATTATTTAATCTATTACAAGGCGTACTATTAGTAGCTGACGTAATCTAATAAAGCGGATTGAAAAAAAAAATGAACTAGAATCTAGATCTAGTCTGGCAGTCATTAAGCTAAGTAAAACATTTCAAATCGCAGAATTAAAAAAAAAATTGTATCACAATAGGGATACTGGGGTCTATCACTGATGTGGTGAGTAGGTTACGTTTTTTCTAAAGTCCATTCAAATTGATTACTGTCCGTTACCCATATGCCTACACACATCTCTCAAGTCGTTATGACATTTGTGGACACCTCTTGTCAGAGGCAAGACAAACAGCAACTTCAAAGTTCTACATTTCTTACAAACTTGGCATTCTCAGATTAAAAACCACGGTACTGTCTGAAAAGTTCAAGAATTTAAAACGTCAACTATCACCCATTCAGTTGACGGAAGTGTGACAGTTTGGGGTGATCAAGTGAGGTAGCGACACATACAAAATGCCGGGGGCTTCACCTGTCTCCGTAAACCCACCCCTCTACAGCCAGGTGAGGGGGGGGGGGGACAGTTTTTAACTGAAATAATCGACCAATGTAACAACATGGACCTATACCGGCCTGAAAACATCAACATAAACTATCAATGGTGAGGCAAGGCTCATAGGTCTACAGTAGATCTAAAGTCTAAAGGGTGATTAAAGTGGGTCATACGTGGTTATCTCTATTTCATCTCCATTTTCGTATAAATTACAGTTTCATTTCTTATTCTTTGCTCTCAATACTTTTCGCGGGTCATGGCCCTTATCCTCATCTCGATACATTTGGTTTCATTTAGGCCTGCACCAATATCAGTCAGGCCTCATCCACTCCACCTAACAAAGTAATTAGCTTAGCTTAACTGCTCTAGAAATAACAAGGCACATGAGTTGCACACTTGTGTTGTGGTAAATAAACACTTGATGTACTTCAGAGAACGCCAGAGCGAGGAGGCGGAAGTATAGAGAGGAGGGAGGGACGGAGGGGAGTGTTAGATAAAAATAGCCTCACGCAATCAACAAACCACACAGCGATGACATCACGATACACGGGTGACCTTAGAGAAAAGGAAGACGACTAGGCATGCGTGTGCAGCCAAGCGTAGAGAAACGAATAATACACGAGGATGGTGTAACAACTGAAACTACAGCTTTTTTATAAGGCACTTCCTTCACCTAATCATAATACAATTTGAACGTTGGTGATTTTGAAAATATTAGTATCACATCCTTAGAGTTAGAGAGCTAAAAAATTCACCCGCAACGATAAGTTATGACTGAGTTCAATATAAGAATGTGCTAACCACAAGATGCAGTTATTTAGCAAAGGCCCTGTTATTACCGACCTACAAAATTGCTCTACACCTACACCAACATCATACTGCATATAACCAATATAACGACATTTTCCACATTCACACACATTTCATAGAATTTTTGTCCAATCGTTTAAAATAGCTGTTGGGTCTGTTAGGTTTCGTTTTCTTACTAGGTAGATTTATATCGTAGGCCGCGAGAAATCCAGCATAGTTGGATAAAGTGTGTAGTGTTGTGTTGGATAGTGTGTAGTTTTGTATTGGATAAAGTGTGTAGTGTTGTGTTGGATAAAGTGTGTAGTTTGGTATTGGATAAAGTGTGTAGTGTTATGTTTGATAAAGTGTAGAGTTTTGGCTACTGTTTTGGCTGTGTTATACAGGTGGTGTGTAATCCACAAGAACAAGGTGTGTTGTGTGTTGCACCACAAGTTTCTTGTTAGGCCTATGTACAAAGAGTGCTGTGTTGAACACGGTGTGTTGCGTGTTACACAACATGCTTCTTGTAAAGTAGGCATACAAAGGGTGCTATGGGGAACAAGGTATGTGTGTGTGTGTGTGGCTGTATGTTGTACAAGGTGTGTTGTGTGAAATCAATATGTACGGCTATGCATGAGCGCTTAAATATTGCCTTCCAATTTTTTGCATAAGTGCTTTAGGGCTACATGCTTTAAACGTATCATATTTTGTCATTGGCAGCACAATATATTTCAAAAGAAAAAAAGTATAAAGGTCAGTGCATATATGAAGGGAGGTAAACAACCTCCCTGAGACAAGACAGTTACATTTGAATAGACTTCAAGGGGCTTAACCAACACCTGTGCCGACAGGAGTCTACAGCATATACAGACAATTCACGTTTATAAAAATAAATGAATAGGCTACAAAATATAAAAATTACGAATCTTAAACAGGGGTCAGATTGGTCGAGTCGGTAAAGTGCATGGTTGCTAATGAGGCTCGATAGCTGGGGACAGCAACTCTTCTAGGAGAGACAACTCCAAAATTAAACAACTGCTGCCTTGTTGTTTGTTCTTGGACAAAGGCTATGGAAGTAAATCTAAAAAGAAAAGCAGGCTGAAATCGGAGTCAACGGCCAATATGGTGCATAACCAGTTGACACGTACGCTTAATTGTGTTGGAGGGAATCCGTTCCAACATTAAAATTAAGAACAAAGAAGTAGAAACAATAATGGTTACATACATGTTAAATTAAAAGTAACAATTATGAAACAATATTACATGCATACAACAATCACTGGTTCATAACAAGCCTTAAGTAAAACAATAATGTGTCAACTACTACCATATTCAGATTACTAATGTTAAGGGTAGTTGTTACCCAAAAAGAAGCTTAGTTGAGGACTGTTGAGCAATAAAAAAAAACAGCAGTGAACACTTTTAAAATTTGCTATCATGCCATCAAGCAGTTTGCTTTTGGTAAACACTTTTAAATAGCAATTAGAAATACAATTAGAAATGAGAAAGTTTCTTCTCTTCAATCCCAGCCATGAGAAAAAAGTTTGCTGTACAAGACAAAATGAAGACATATTCCCCAAGGTTATGTCCCTTATAAGATTGGCAAAAGGAAAATCCATCATACAGTGTGACTAGGATATCAGCTCAGTGTCAAGTTGACCCAAGATCACACAATGTTGGTAGGTGAAGTTTGTTTGATTTTAAAAAAAATATTCAAAACTGATTCGATCATCCTACCTTCAAGACTGCTCAGTAAAAATTAAACACCTGCATTATTTAAAAAGGCTACCATATTTTTGCTATACTAGCTCAACAAGATATCAATGTGAGTATTATATGTGGTCAGGTGCCAGCCAAAGTTGCTCATACAACTTTATGCTGGGCAAGATTTGTGGGACTTCTGTTATACTCAGTCCTCTCATCTCTAGTGATTTGAGAAACAGCTTCTGTATCTTTGCTCTATACAGCTTAGACTTGGAAGTTTTTTCAGAATAATCTTGGTTAAAAATATATTAAGATAAATTTCATTGCACTTAGTGGCCAGATAATTTTTTAAGTAGATCCACACTGTCTGTATTCAGTAAAAATTGTGCCTATGTGTGGTTAAAGTAAACCTGTATTTTTACATCAGACAAAGATTTTACAAGGTAAAAGCCTAGTACAACTGTGGCAGAAAATGTACTGTGGCCAGTCTCAGTCTGGAACTTGTAGCCAATGTCAGCACATGAGGATCATCTGCTGGTGCCACACTCCGAGCCTCTGCTGGAGGTCAGAGCAGGTGGAGTACAGGTACCTCAGGTTCTGTCAGGTCAAGGACCTTCTTGAAGGTGAGGACATTAGTTTGTTTTTGGTCCTGTTTTATCAGGACAATACATTTAGAGGCTTAGGAGATCCAATTTGTTTGGATTCTCAGATCAAGAATCTTTTTGAAGGTTTGGACATTTAGTTTGTATTTGGTTCTGTCAAAAGATAGAACTTTAAGATAGAGTCAGATAATCATGATGAGTCAGATAGGGCAGAAATTTCACCTTAGTTTTGTTTAGTATACATCACATTTTTAAAGTTTTAATGTATGCATTTCTTACCCCCATATTTTTTAAAGTTTTCATGTATGCATGTCATACTTCCATAATTTTCAAGTTTTCACATTTGTATTTCTTTGACAACTCACATGGAACCTTGTATTTTGTGTTTGTTTAGATTTTATTTATGGGATGGAGTTCATGGACACAGTAGATGGTGACCAGAGCCTGGAATGCTGCCCCAAGAAACATCGGCACCATGAGTTTGTAGACGTGAAGAAACTGACCCTTGCCCACCTGCCCCATGACCTTAGGCATGCGAGCGTACTTGTCTGGTTGAAGTACTGCGCACTTCTCGTTGTTAAACTTAAAAGAGTCACCAGCAATGGGAAAGCTACTGGCCGTGTGTGTTTTGTTGTGAGGGAGCGCGGGATTGTGAAAACATGCAGCAGCAACAAGTGTCACATTGAGGATCCACATGAGGTGTATGGCGGCATCAGCATCATCACCAACATGCATGTCGTCAAGAATGACTTTGATGCATCTCGAACAACTGTAGAGTTTTTCTATGACGACAAAGAAAGCCCTCCCCATACAGAACAAGGAAGTAGCATCACACTGACTAAACGAGAGATGGACTATGGTGTGTTTAGTTGTTACGTGCATAACAAAGATCTAGTTGGTAAACTCATGTTAGTTGATGAAATAAAACACTACGCCTGGCTGCAAATTCCTGCGGAGTTGAGAAAAATTTCTAAAGATTATGCTATCATTATTTCTCACCCCCACGGGGAGAGCAAAAAATTCAGCTTCGGGAAAATTCTGGATAGAGAAATCTTGTGGAACAGTGAGCAGCTTGAAAACAACAGAGTGCTGCAAAATATGTTCAACACTTTAGAGACCTTACAGGAACCAGTCCTGACCTGGTTCTCTGTGTTTATCCAGGAGTTCATCATGTCACGAGAGATCAAATTACCTCATAAAAGGACCAGGTACGACACCGCCACCTGTAAGGGAAGTTCAGGCGCACCTGTCTATATGGGGAGTGTTGTGGAGGAAAATGGACGAGAGATAAATCTACCACACACACATAGGGGTGTGGATAGAGAAGTCTTTAACATTAGTTTCACATGATGTGTATAGGTCTTTAACATTAGACATAATGTGGTTACAGAGGTCTCTAACATTGGTTTCACATGATGTGGATAGAAAGGTCTTTAACATTTGTTTTACATGATGTGGATAGAAAGGTCTTTAACATTTGTTTTACAAGATGTGGATAGAAAGGTCTTTAACATTAGTTTCACATGATGTGGATAGGTCTTTAACATTAGACATGGTGTGGTTACAGAGGTCTTTAACATTGGTTTCACATGATGTGGATAGAAAGGTCTTTAACTTTTGTTTTACAAGATGTGGATAGAAAGGTCTTTAACATTTGTTTTACAAGATGTGGATAGAAAGGTCTTTAACATTAGTTTCACATGATGTGGATAGGTCTTTAACATTAGACATAATGTGGTTACAGAAGTTTTTAACATTGGTTTCACATGATGTGTATAGGTCTTTAACATTAGACATAATGTGGTTACAGAGGTCTTTAACATTGGTTTCACATGATGTGGATAGAAAGGTCTTTAACATTAGTTTCACATGATGATGGTAGAGAGATCTTTAAATGTTTGAAAATGTAACAAATACCAGCCAACCAGAGTACTGTAATGGTCACATGGCCTGCTCATGTGACCAATACCATCCAACCAGAGTGCTGTAATGGTCACATAGCATGGTCATGTGATCAATACAAACCAACCAGAGTTTTGTAATGGTCACATGGCATGGTAACGATAAATAACTAAAACCCACCTATTACTTCATATACCATTATATAACATTTCCTCAGACCATCGCTCCTCATATTATTTTACATTTCTAGGACCCCCCCCCCCCCCATCCCTACACAAACCACAATATAACTATTAGAAGTAAGTTAAGGAATGGCATTATTTTTTACTAAGTTGATTGTTATATCTTTGTTAGCTGTAAACCATCACATTGTGTCAAAAGTAAAAATGCACAAGTCATTTGTGTTAACTCTTTCATCTAACCTACTAAAACTGCAGATATTTTGTGAATATAAGAATAAAGAAAAAAGTCAATGTTATAGGCCTTTACCATTGTGTTATATGTTTTACATAACACAATATTCCAAAACAGTAAATTCGTTAAAAGTTTCTTGTAATTTAGTAGGCAAAGTCAATGGAGAAATTTATTAAGGGTATATATGAAATTAGAATAGTAATTTAACTGAGATGTCAAAATTTAGCCCAAAACATAGGGCTACAATTTTGATTTGTGGGAATTTATATATTGTAATGTGACACAAATTGTGTTGATGAGTATCTTTGGTGTATGATACTAAGTTACCTATCCACTTAACCATACAGAGAAGTGCTTTAGTTTCCCATACCCAGTAGGGTATAGGTTTACCATACCAAATAGGGTAAACAAAAACATGGCAACAAAGAGTATAAAGGCTATGAATGTATTTATGTTTTTATCTATGTCAAGATTTTGTACAGCTAATTTCAATGAAAATTATTTTTGAAATTTAAAACAGTCTTTTCTCATGCTTCTAAAATAAAATTCTAATTCACTAAAAATGTATTTAAAATTGTATGTCTTATTTACACAACCAAGTACACCATACATACTGTTACAACAACATACAATGAAGTCGAAACTAAGAATTTAAATAATTAACTTCACTTCTAACCAATTTTATAGTGAACGTAATTTGGTCTACATTTGTCCTTATACATGGACTAACTGGTTTATCCAGCTGGTACTTTTTTCTATGCTGACCTGTCAACATACATACATGCAGCTGCTAACAGGTGAGTGGGGAACATACAGCATAAGACCTGATATGCAACACACATCTATTAAATATCACCGTACCGATCACCTGTGTTTTATAAACTGATTTTAAAGTAGGCCTATACGATGAAATAATCCCTATTGAGGTTTTACACCAGTATACATTAACTAATGGAGTCTGGTTAGTTTTACCCTGAGAAGTCACCCATTTCACCAGTACAAATTAAGTACTCTCTTTAAATTATTAAAAAACAATGTACTTACCCCAGTAGGCTGTCCTTTGTTTAGGTCAAGAGGCTTATCAGTAACTAGGTCATTGACAAGTGGCAAAAGGGACGAGCCTGTTAGCCTAACTTCTTGACCCTCCAGCTTGTAAGACGGATACTTGATACTAAACCAGTCCAGAACAGTGGGGACAATGTCCAGTAAACTGATCAGCTCTTTGTTTACCTGGTGTAACAAATCAAGTTTTTTCTTGATTAAAGATAGTATGGGAGACAACTCTGACATAATTCAAACATTTTTGCTTCTATAAAATGTCTCTAAAATCATTGAGCTTAAGTATTTGTACAAATATTTTACAAGATGAAAGATGAAAATAAAGCAGATAGATTCATCTGTCTACTTTTTAAAAGTAATTTAATATGTACTAGATGAATAATTTCACTTCTGGTAACTACTTGTTATAAATGAAAAAAATCTAATAACAGTTTTTAATGGAAATTTCAGGAGAAAACATTATCAGAAAGGAACAAAACATACTGTAATGTAAACAACATAAACAAAAAGAAATTAAACCAATTATTATAGCCACAGCCCATCTTTAAAAGAGAGAAAGAAGCCACCACTTAAATAAACCAAGATGCTAAAGAAAGATAACAAATACAAATATTTCAAGCAGAAGTAAAGTGGTGATGGGGATGATATGAGACACTAACCATTTGAGAGCAAATTTCTGAGGCTTTTGATGTGACTATGAAAGTAATCCACAAAAACATTTTAAAACCATCTTCCTATGATCAACTTGAGAATATAAATGTACTCTTACACTTCCCCATTTGGTTCTCCCCACTGGTGATGACACTAAAAATGGCTCGGCCATTCCTGATGTATACAAGTTGGTGCGTCCACTTGGAAATGAGATGCCATTATCCGAGGTGAATAAAATCAGAGTATCATCTAAATGGCCAGCTTTCTCCAACTCTTTCATAATAAGTTGAATACCTATACACAAAAAACAAAAAACTAATTAAGTGCATAATTTAAATTAATATCCTAAGTCTGGATTAAAAAAAAAACAACCTAGACTAAAGTATAGAAGAAGAAATACTTCAAAAGATAGCCAGCAATGTCAATTGTAACATACATTATTATGAGTGCTACAAGTCACGTACCTTGATCCATGCGGCTGATAGTTGTGTACTGCGCAGCAATATCCTCCCGCGCAGCTGGTGTATCTGGCACAAAATAGGGCACGATGACCTCGTCAGGGCTGTAATGTGTTGGGACCCAGTCGGGGATTATGCCCATACCTGGGTCACCGTTCCCAAATTTTTCACAAAATTCTCCGAACTCTGGGTTCGTGCTTCCACATCGATGAGGGTCATGGAACGCAACATACAGGAAAAATGGTTGGCTGTTGGGGAACAAGATGAGGGTCATGGAACGCAACATACAGGAAAAATGGTTGGCTGTTGGGGAACAAGATGAGGGTCATGGAACGCAACATACAGGAAAAATGGTTGGCTGTAGGGGAACAAGATAAGGGTCATGGAACGCAACATACAGGAAAAATGGTTGGCTGTAGGGTAACAAGATAAGGGTCATGGAACGCAACATACAGGAAAAATGGTTGGCTGTTGGGGAACAAGATGAGGGTCATGGAACGCAACATACAGGAAAAATGGTTGGCTGTAGGGGAACAAGATGAGGGTCATGGAACGCAACATACAGGAAAAATGGTTGGCTGTTGGGGAACAAGATGAGGGTCATGGAACGCAACATACAGGAAAAATGGTTGGCTGTAGGGGAACAAGATGAGGGTCATGGAATGCAACATACAGGAAAAATGGTTGGCTGTTGGGGAACAAGATGAGGGTCATGGAACGCAACATACAGGAAAAATTGTTGGCTGTAAGGGAACTAGTTTTAAAAACTTTAACTGCTGGTAAAAATACAGAAACAATAAAACAAATTTTCTTAATTAAATAAAATAATTTGATTTTAAATTAAATTAAACTAAAATTAAGATTAACAACATGTTACAAAGAGTTGAATTATATGAAATAATATTTAAAAAAATTAATTACTCTTCTTTAGTTTGGCTAAAAAATTCTGACACTTTTTCTTTCATGAAGGTGATGTTGCGACCTGCCTGATTAATGGAGACTTGCTCTTCAGTTACAGCAAAGTCAAATGGGTAGACATTTTCAGGCCCAACATGTTTTTTACCAACAATCCCTGTTTAAGATGCAGAATGCTGCATTCAATTATAAATTATCTACACATTTTACAAACAACAACATACAGATACAATTAATCTACACATTTTTTAAAAACACTGGCAGTGTAGCATAATGAATCCACACATTTTAAAAAACAATTTTTATTAAATTGAAAAAAAACAACAACTGAATTATACTTTTTTAAAAACTTTACCGTAACAAATTTAATACCTGTTCTAACTCCAGCTTGCTTAAGGAGGAGTGGAAGACTTTTCAGCCCATCGAAGGAGTTGAAATTGTGCACTGTGTTGTGTAATCCATACATGCCATTTTGATGTTGGGGCAGGCCTGATAGAATGGCTGATCTAAATGGTAAAACAAGGGTATTTCATTTTGGTTCATCACAGTTTTTTAAGGTTTAAATTTTTTACAAAAGCTGGTAGGGCAAGACTGTAATATATAATACATGGGGTACTAATGGATGTTTTTCCAGGGGCAATAACTCCCCTTCCAGGAGTAATAATCAAACTTCCAAGGGTAATAACCCTTCTCATAGGGGTAATGACCCTCTTGACCCACCATTTGGGCAATTATGATTTCATTTACATTTTCTGCTTTTAGGGTCAGAAGTACTCTCAAGGCTAGGTTGAAAGCTTGCTCAGCAAATGTAGCAAAAAAAGGCTCTTTTATACCTCACAAATTAAAAGACAAAGTATTTCCTTGCGGGTACACAAGGTATTTCCTTGCTAATTGTTCCTGTAGGTACACATAGTCAGCACAACTCACCTGCTTGGGGAGCAGCTGCTGACTGAAGTGAAAGCATTTGTGAAGACAACACTCTGTTTTGCCAGGGCATTCAGCCCTGGAGTTTTACACACACTGTTGTTGTACACCTCAGTCTCAAACCCAGCATCATCACCTACAGGAGCAGCACAAGAAAAAAATTTAAACTCTCAAACCAATGTTCCCTCTAAGGGGGAAAAGCTAATGTGCAAAATGTATTTTATGGGCGCAGTGTTGTAAAAGTCTTGTATGATGATATATTTATTTTACAAAATCACTGTGCAGCAGCTCAAAACTGCTGCGCGGCCACACAACCGCGCAGCATAGAGGGAACATTGATCATCACCTACAGGAGCAGGTCAAGAAAATAATTAAACTCTCAAACCCAGAATCATCACCTACAGGAGCAGGTCAAGAAAATAATTAAACTCTCAAACCCAGAATCATCACCTACAGGAGCAGCACAAGAAAAAAAATTAAACTCTCAAACCCAGCATCATCACCTACAGGAGCAGCACAAGGAAAAAATTAAACTCTCAAACCCAGCATCATCACCTACAGGAGCAGCACAAGAATAAAATTAAACTCTCAAACCCAGCATCATCACCTACAGGAGCAGCACAAGAAAAAATTTAAACTCTCAAACCCAGCATCATCACCTACAGGAGCAGCACAAGAAAAAACTTAAACTCTCAAACCCAGCATCATCACCTACAGGAGCAGCACAAGAAAAAAATTAAACTCTCAAACCCAGCATCATCACCTACAGGAGCAGCAAAAGAAAAAATTTAAACTCTCAAATCCAGCATCATCACCTACAGGAGCAGCACAAGAAAAAAATTAAACTCTCAAACCCAGCATCATCACCTACAGAAGCAGCAAAAGAAAAAATTTAAACTCTCAAACCCAGCATCATCGCCTACAGGAGCAGCAAAAGAAAAAATTTAAACTCTCAGACCCAGCATCATCACCTACAGGAGCAGCACAAGAAAAAAATTAAACTCTCAAACCCAGCATCATTACCTACAGGAAAAAAATTAAAGGTTACATATTCGTGTTGATCTATTTTTAAAGCATACTAGGTCAATTTTAAATTGTTTGATTTTGTTTTTTGCTCAAATTTAGAGGGAAAATTAAGCTTTGTAGTATAGAGCAGTATCCAAGCAAATGTTTGTAACACACTTACCTACAAAAAGTAAAACATTTCTGATTTTATTTTCAGCATTTTTTGCAGTTGTGATCAAATATAAATTCATGAATATAGTTAGAATGTAGAGGCATCTTCTATCCATTTATATTTATTATCAATATGTGTAAATATCACCTTCATGTGTCTGTGAAAAATATAATAATAAAAACAATAATACATACTACAAATGGACATGTATTTACATAGGATTTAACTTTTCATTATGAAGCTCCAAGCAGAAAGTTTCCTGTAACTTTACTGATGTTAAATTTTGGCTAGGATTATAATTCATTAGATTTAGACTGCGTGTGTGTGTGTGGGGGGGGGGGGGGTTAAATCTATGAGTAAGACTCATTTTATCAATACTTTTAATTATATTTTTATGAAATAAAAATCATTTTGAAATGGTCAACGTCCTTAAATTAGTAATCTAGACCAGAGGCGTAGCGATGGGTGGCGGGGGTGCGGACCGCACCAGGTGACACCATTTAGGGGGTGACACCAAGGCAAAAATTCGCAAAATATATAGAGAAAAACTTGAGGGGGGGGGGGGGGGGGTTGCAAATCGAAAACTTGAGGGGGGGGAGGGGTGCAAATCGAAAGTTTGAGGGGGGGTGCAAATCGAAAACTTGAGGGGGGGGGGGGGAGGTGCAAATAGAAAGTTTGAGGGGGGTGCAAGTTTGAGGGGGGTCCCTACGCCTCTGGGGGGGGGGGGTGACACCATTAAGTGCCGCACCGGGTGACACCCGACCTCGCTACGCCACTGATCTAGACTAGGCCTGAGTAAAGTGAGGTCAGGAGTTTAAGACTTAAGACCAGTGACTGAGCTTGCACTGGTTTGCAGCTTACTGAGCTTAAGTTACTAGATCTAGTAGCATTACTATAGATTCTAGACATAGTTAGTTAGAGGCTTAGGTCGGCTTTTTACTTTTTTAAACATTTTTTTAGGACAATCATCCGATGTCACAGTGAGTATTACAGTATTACTAATAATACTCGCCATTAGACACTGTATTATTATAATAATATAATTATTAGATCAGTGAGTACGCAGCTAATCCTCTAATCCTAGCTTACTAGATCTAGATAGATTTTTACTAGACTAGAATCTCTCAGAGATTCTCTTGTACATCTAGAATCTCTAGACTAGACTCTACTCCTAGACTCTAGTAGATAGTAGATCTCTAGATCTAGATCTAGAGTATTCTAGAGTCTAGTAAGTAAAGTATAAGTAATAATATTAATTAAATTATTATTAAATTAATATTATTACTATTAGGCCTACTAGTATTATAATTCATTAATTATAATTATATATTATTTTAATATATATTATTAATAATACTAGGCCTATAAACAATTAAGTAAGAGTAATAGTAACAGAGTAAGAGATAGAAAATCTAGGTGTACATTTCACGGAATCTTAAAAATAAATTGTAGATTCTAGATCTAGATCTAGATCTAGAATCTAGATTCTATCTAGATCTAGAAGAATCTAGATTCTAGTTTTAATTAAAAGTTACTCTGAATAAAAAGATCTATGTTTACAAGGGGAAATAGTAGCCAGGTCATGTGATAGATTTACCACCAGTCATGTGATTTTTATATATAAATGTAAACATTCGGGAACTCAGCTGTGTAGTGACTGATGTAGGCTACAGTGTTAGATTTAACTCTTAAGTTAATTCTAAATCTAGATCTAGATCTAGATCTCTATATCTAGACTAGATTTAGATCTATAGAGAATTATATAGGCCTAGATCTAGGACTTATCTCGGTAAAATCTTAGTAAATTCGGCCAAAACTAGATCTAGACTAGATTCTAAAATCTAGTTGTAGGCTGGAGTGGAGGGAGAGAGTGTTGTTCTCACAAGATCTATTCTAGAATTCTAGATCTCTAGATTCTAGATCTAAAATATAATTATAAAATCTAAAGTATTCTAAAGTAATCTAAAGTTACAAGTAAAAGGCAGTTATGCCCGTCAAGTGTTAAATTAAGGAGTAACCATAATCATAGGAGTTTTTATTTATTTTTAGTTTTTAGGTAGGCGGTGGGGGTAGATCTACTGATATCATATGTAATTATGTATTTCTATTATGTGGCAATCTGGGTAAAAGTTGTTATAAAAAGCATATCACTCACCTACACATTTTAAAGACAGTTTACCCACTAACCACTCACTACATAGACCTATTGCTTATTATGAATATATAGAATCTAGATCTAGGCGTTTTTCTCTGAATTTACAGCAAATATTTAATATATTATTATATAGCATTTAGACAAGGGCAGACAGGTATACTGACCATTGACATCAGCTGAGAATGGCAAAGGAATAACAGTTGAGATTTACTAGGGTAGCAGGTAACATGTCCAGTTTTGTTGGCCACAATAGAAAGTATGGTGCCACTGAAGAATCAGAACGGCTTATTTCTCATGGAACCGATTCTGATGAAGAAGCTAATGCAGTGAGTACTCATTAAAAATAATTACACCTGATTTTATGTTCTTTTTTTATCTTTGTAATTTATTTACTCATATCAGTGACTGACCATTCTAATGGAACCAATAAAATTTAATTTTTAATTTAAGTACTTCCCCTTGAAGCATACATTGTTTACTCCCAAAAATAATTCACTGTTTATTAAAAAGAGTTTATAGCCTTGTTCCAGAAGCAATAGAAACTAAAAAATAATCAACACAATTCTGACAGACATGTTAACGATTTATCCCACTAATAATCTAAAAGAACCAATCAGTGATTGTTTTTTCAAATAACGTAGGCCTATAAGAAGCTATAAGAAGACTGGCACAAATAACACAACATTACAAAGGTTACATTACAAAATAGCAATCATAGGCATGCAATCAGGCTAGCACCATGAAAACCCTTACACAGTGTTTACATTTGTGACATGTATTCTATAATTGTCTAAAATTTTCCATGTGGAATGTGTATTTTTACTTGTTGCAAGTTTTTTCCCTTGACATATATTTTATAGAGACTACAAGTGTAAACATGGTGTTAGCATAATAGAAAAATGTCCTGGTGAATACTGGTGATAGTTCTTTGATTGTTTATAGTCAGTAATACCAGCAACATTAAGTAGCTAAGGATGGTATGGAGAAATGTCTAGATCTAGATTTAATTTATTAAATGTTTAAGTTCAGGAAGTTGTGGTTTTCAAATTAATAAAAATTAAAAACAATTTATCAAAAGTGATGTGTGTAGCAGATAGCTTATTATTTAATATTTAAAAAAATAAAACAGAGCCACAAGGTTCATTCTCTCAGTGACAGTAATAATTTAATACATTTTTTGTAAACAAACAAATCTATTATATACATAATTATTATATAAATAAGTAATAAGTATTATAAAAAAATCAATAGTAATTATTTAACTGTTTTTCAGTATGATTGGAAACAGTTCAATGCTAGCCACTTTCCATTTATTTTTTTTTAATTCAATGAAACTAAGGGAAACAACTTAACTTTATTCTAATACGTTGTTAAATATAGAGAAATCCAGAAGATCTAATAATAAAACAAAATTTTTCTTTTTAAAATTATATTCTGAAAAATATTATTAAAACCTTTTTACAAAATTTTGTCTAATATTTACAGTTAATAAATTTAAGAGTTATCGTTCAATTGTAGAAAATTAAATTGAAAACTAATATTTGTTTAACATTATAAAGTTGTATAGAAATGAAAGTTCAGATTATCAATTTCTTATGGTGCTTGATGAGTTTCGATCCCTCCCACTAAAAACAAGTAATTAAAAAAAGTCTAGTGACAATTTTAGCGCAATTTCCTTACGTTGTCTAAAAATTGCTCGGTCGTAGCGTAAATCAACAGCAGGGTTAGTAAAACCATTGGTTAGTTATTAAAACGTTTTTTATTAATTTTTTTTTCAGTATTTTACATGTTTTATTTACAATAGAGTAACATGACTAAAAACCATTGCGCGCCTAGCTACCGAGCGTGATGTCGCAGATATTGAACGTGATGGCGCAGCTATAAAACGTGATGACGCGTGTGGTGTGGTTGCATAAAATGCCTACTAATTCGGTCCAAATTTTAATTAATTCAAAAAATTTTTTGTGACCAAACGAAAGGATATTTTTGAAAACTTTCTTCGGCAATATTGTTCTAAATTATAGCAGGAATCGATTGTTGCATGTTTCAAGTCGCTAAGTGGTCTGGTTGCCGAGATATGGGCCAAAAACTGCATTTTTCCGAGGTTTTTTGGCTTTTCCGGGAAATCCATGAAAGAAACCCGGAATTTTTATGGCCTATGTTCATCCTCGTAACTTGCTTAACATAATTGTTTTTGTAACTAGTCATCGATATTGCTTCGTTGAGGAGGAGATACGACTTAAAGCTGCGGACACACATCCATACATTCATCCATCCATTCCCAGAAATGACGAGTTAATAAACGCAATTCTCCAGAATGGAAATTGCGCTAAAAATTAAGAACGAAAAAGAAGAAATGGTGCTTGAAAATAGGCAAATTATTTTAGCAAGGAAGCAATATGATTATATTATCAGCTTGGTTGACTTAACAATGCCATGTAACAATCACGCGACCAGAGTTTCTTCTTCGCCCCCCCCCCCCCGAACGAAAAAGAATTTATATAGAAACCATACTTTTACCAGTGTCCCCCCCCTCTCCCGGAGAAAAAAGTCTGGAAGAAACACTGCATGCGACTAAATAGGCGTATACTATAACATCTAAGATTGTTACAAGATATAGATGCATATTTACTTATTTTAGTACATTTAGTTCGTGTTGAATCGCCTTAAATATGTAATTGATATTCCTTTTGTAAATGGTAGTCTAGGAATTCCAACATTGCCATTATTGCACCCGCCACCCCCACCCCCCCTGGCTCTTTGATCCACAAAGCGGGCGCCCTTACAACCAGCCCCTATCTTTCCACGTCTGAACTTCATCGCACCTGGTTCATGAATAATTGGTTTGTGATGTCAGTTTATTCTTATAGAGCACATGATCTTAAGTACATGATGTTAATTCCTTTAAGAACAAGAATGTTACGTAACACTGGATGTTGATATTTTAAAAATTTGAAATTTAAAACCCAACTTATGGTCATCATCCGTTAAGTTCAGTGAACCATGACTAAACATGGCGATTCCATCTTCTGGTAGTCATGGTGTTAATGAAGCGTCTTAAATCTCGCCTGGCATCGTTAGTGCACAGTTATCTACCATTTTAGCCTCCTCCCCCCCCCCCCCTCCAACCACAGCAAATTACTGTTGACCTTTTCATTGGCGATTAGCTTTACCGTTTGCAGTGGATGCATACAGTTTTTACTGCCTGTTATTGTTGAAAAATAAAGTTTTTATTATTATTATTATTTAAGTACGGAATCGATACAAAGATAAATCAGAACTTCACGGTCATAGGGCTTAAGTTTGTACTCACTGAAGATGTAAAACTTTACGTAAGTAGAGTGGGACTACGTGATTGGGAGGCGTGGGGTGTCTCGCCATATCGGAGTCTCTAATAGATTGATTGATATAGTTACTGTTATCAGTTTTTTTAAAAATTCATCTACGGAAGGCAGCTAAACCTAAACATTTGTAAAAAAAAAACGCACTGGGGAAAATGTTAAGGTAAGCGGTATTTGGAAATCAATTCTACTCGCGAACATGATCACAATATCGTTGGTTCATCCGCTCCACTTAATTACCAGAAGAAGATGAACCGTATCACGCTTCGTTGAATGCTGACGGTACTTACATTTCTCTCAACCAGATCTAAGCCCTGACATTTTGGGCATAGCTGACTCATGTACCGCCAGAGACCATCAGGCCTCAGTCATGTGAGTTAATGAAGTCATCCAGCAGAAAGTTCCAATATGTGATCCAACTTTTTACTCGGGTCACGGGATCGAAGTCTTGTAGACAGGGGCGTCACTAGAGGGTGTGGGTGGTGCGGCCCACCCCGGGCGATGCCACCACCCTGGGGTGACACCAAATTAAGTAAAGCTCTGTCTTTATGACGTCTATAAACGAAACAGTTCAGTGTTATTTTGTACTTCCCGTTTGGAATGTG